TGTTTCACAGAGAAAACCGTAGACTCTCAATAGAATGTTTAACCTTTTTGAAATTTCACACCAATAGAAAGAAAAGCTACTTGACTGAAGCTAAAATTATTTTTCTAAGATCAACTCTTAGGTAATCAAATATATAGGTATAGGTAATCAAATGATGCACTTTCAAGAGCTGTCACTTAACCAATCACCAGTATGTCAGTGCCACCTCCTAAGTCTCTGTCACACTCATTGTCCTTTCTAGTCCCTCTGCCACTGTGTGGTTTAAGCCCTGTAAACAACAGCCTCCTCACCCATCTTCATTCCTCCAGGCTTGTGTCTGCCATCTGCCCTCCCCACAGTTACAGGAGTGACTTTTTCAACCTGCAAACTGATCATATCAGGCTGGAAGTCCTTCAGCGACTCCCTTTTACCTGTGGTACAGGTTCTTGGGGCCGTGGCATGTCCTAAAGGACGGGTTCATAATCTGGCTCCTGGCAACTGTATGTCTGCTGCCATCTGCCCAAATTCCCTCTGTTGTTTTTGCAACCTAGGCTTCGGCAACATGCACTCACCTACATTCCCCCAGGAAGCACATATCTTTTCAAGCTACCATGCCTTTGTTTCTATTTTCTCTAAGTTTAATATTCTTATCCCTGTAATTTCCCAGCAAACTCCTTTTCATTTTTCAAATTTTACCTAAAATGTTATTACATGGCAGTCAAGGGCCAGACTTCAAGTAAAGACAGTGGATTGAACACATGCATATAATTTTCCCCCAAAAACTTCGTTATGGGATATACCATTTTGTGTGATGTAATTCGTATTCTCTACAAAGAAATCTCTGGGGTCCCAATGAAAAGCTTGTGCTTCATTTTTTATTATTTTTTAATTTTTCAATTACAGTTGACATACAATATTATATTTTGGGTGTACAACATTGTGATTAGACATTTATATAACTTACAAAGTGATCACCCTGATAAATCTAGTACCCACCTGACACCATACATAATTATTACAATATTACTGACTATGCTATACCATATTCCTTGTTATACCATACATCCCCAGACTATTTTGTAATTATCAATTTGTATTTCTTAATCCTTTCCCCTTTTTCACCCATCCCCCCCCACTCCTTCCCATCTGGCAACCATCAAAATGTTCTCTATATCTATGAGTTTGTTTCTGTTTTGCTTGTTTATTTATTTTGTTCTTTAGATTCCACATATAAATAAAATCATATGGCATTTGTCTTTCTCTGTCTGACTTACTCCACTCAGCACAATACCCTGTAGATCCATCCATGTTATAGATGGCAAGATCTCATTTGAAAAGGTTGTACTTTAAAAGAAAAAAAAGCTTTGATGTAATTAAGATTTACTCTTGAACACCAGTTCCCTACACAACCAGCTGACTGTCAGCACAAAGTTGACATTGTGCTGATCATTGACCAAATATTCTTTCTTTTTCATATTGTTAAGGAATTAAAAATCTCCATAAAACATCAAAAAGAAAAAAAGCAGTTTTCTTATTGAATAAGCATGAACCAGAGTACCATGGGTGTGGTTGATCATCTACAAAGACATTATAAAGACAGAAAGTCTACCCTATTTCTACAGCCAGGAAGTTACAATCCTTTTGTATGCTCTATTTTCAGTTATTATGTTTGTATGTTCTCAAGATGAACCCGTCCTCCTATGAGAAGACTTAGCAGCACCATCTGTTGAACATTCTTTCATAGTTTATACTAAATTCACCTTTATCAGAAGAAAAATAAAATTTTCTTATTTCTATGGCAAGCAGATGCCTAGAGGCTAACCTCCCACAGTGACAGGGACATAAGGCACTTTCTTCCTAGAGGTTTATATTTCAAAGGGATGGCTCCCAGATCTTTGACAAAAAATATTTCTGGGTTATAAAACAGACAAAAGGCTAACTCAGGAGTAGTTTTTAAAAAATGTATATTACATTAGTACGTATATATATATATATATATATATATATATACACACACACACACATATATGTATATGGGGTGTGATAAAAATTAAGAGTAAATGTTTAAATTAAAGTTATTACAGTAAAAGACACATTCTCATTAATTGCCCTCAAAACACTTCCCCTCACTTCGAACACACTTATCCCATCCTTCTTACCACTTTCTGAAGCAGCTCTGGAAGTCCTCTTTCATGTGTCTTTAGTTGCGCTGTCATGGCTGCTGCCTCTATGTCCTGAATCAATACAAAATGTTTACCTTTCATGGTCATTTTGACTTTGGGGAAGAGCCAGAAGCTGCATGGTGCCAGATCCGGTGAATAAGGTGGATGAGGACACAGCATAATGTTTTTATTTGACAGAAATTGCTGTACCAGAAGCAATGTGTGACACAGAGCATTGTCATGATGGAGGATGAAGTAAAGACACAAAATCGGACTTCCAGAACTGCTTCAGAAATTGGCAAGAATGATGGGATAAGTGTGTTCAAAATGAGGGGGAGTATTTTGAGAGGGATTAATGGTAATGTGTCTTACTCTAATAAATTTTTTATTTAAACATTCACCATATTTTTCGATCACATCATATATATATATATATCCCTTCATATATGTTCTTCACTGGGTGGGACCATACTGCCCAGTGCAAATTACAAAATGTTTAGCATCCTTTGCCCCACCACAAAATACTAGTAATGGCCAATCCCACCGTCCATCCCCAACCACAAGCACTGTGGTAATAATAAAAGGAAGAGTGAGGAGGAGAGAGGGAGAGAAGAAAACTGCCCTTACGCATTTTCAAATACCTCCTGGAAGGTATGATGCCAAGCTTGGTGACCACCTCTTCTGGACTCGCCCAGGACTTTCCCCTTTAACTTTCCTGGTTTCAGCATTGAAAGTTTCAAGTCCCAGAAAACCCATCAGCTCTAGGCAAACTGGGATGGTTGGTCACCCTAACTCCCCACCACACCCCCCCCCACCCACATACATACACACACAAACTCACACACACACACACACACACACACACACACACAAATAATCATGTAATTATGTGCAGGTGGCACTTAGGAAAACATTTAAAAGATTGGCTTTAAAATGGAAGAAATCTGGGTTCGGGTACTGGTTGGGCCCCTTAACCAGTTCTGTGACTAAGCAAGTGTCTGACCAGCTCTTGTGTGTTCAATGGAATAAAAACTGTGCGTCTGGGCTGGTGTGAGAATTCAGCTCCGAATAAACACCCTTACTTCTTGTGTGAACTCAGACCTCAGGTCTTCACCAAAGCTCCCAAGCCAATTTTTATTTATCTCTTCTTTGGAGAAATGAGCTTATCGTGTCCCAAGTGTCACTATATCTGAACCCCAACTAGAAAAGGAGCATTTGTGAGGATGGACAGTGCCTTTGCATTTCCTAATACAGTGGCTGGCAGGTAGGATTCAGGCTGTTCAATAAGGATTGGTTAATAGCTGTTTAATTAATACCCTTATATTGTACCAACCTCTAACTCAGTTGTACCTTTACCACAGTTCTCATTGTGATGTCACAGTATGTTCTTTGGCCTTCCTTGGCTGGATGTTTTCTCAGGATGAGAGTCACCACCAGCACAGACACAAGTGACCCCCACTTATTGGACGTACATGTTCACAGTGGGAGCTGCATGAGGCTGCCCCAGGGGTGTGATTTCAGGAGGATTTTATTCACCCCAGTGTTTCCCCCGTGGGCTCCTAATCCATGCCTCACAATCCGAAGTGTGTTCATGAGGTCTTCTCAGTCATTTTCTCCCTGGTGGGAGCCCCTCAGCTGGATTCAGCATTGAGAGTAGGTCTTGGAAGGCAGAGGCTGGGGAGGCCAAGAAGGAAGTGGCCCTGAAAAAGGTCAAGGGCACCAATGGCTATGAGCAATGGTAATTTCACTGGCCCCTGACACAGAAGGTGACCCCCTCACACTGTCTCCTGGTATAGGCCCTGCATCTGTATCTCGTGCACACGTGAAGTTGGCTGCTGTCCTCAACTAAATTTTATGATTTAACAGTTCCTGAGGGCAGAGACTCAGACATAGCACTGAGCACATAGTACTTGCTTCAAAAAAATTCTGCTTGAAATTTTGAAATGATGACAATAGTTCTGGAACAGCACACTGTAGAGTATTGATATGCTGCAGTTGATAGAATGGGACTTTAATTACTTTTATAGACTATAACCCACAGAATTAAATACAGATCCAGCATAGGACATGGTCAGTGTCCTTGAGGGCAGCTTCAACTGATGAATCTCAGTCCCATGACCTGGCTCTGTTAGTGACTTAAGTGCCCCAAACAAGGGAATAGTTTTGCTGAGTAGGAGGATATGGGGCATAGAAGGCTCTGTGGTCCAGGAAGGAAAAGGAGGTAAAGCTGGATAACAGAGAGACTGACCTAGGGTTAAGATAGTGTTACAAAATTAATAAAGGCCTCTCCTGAAACTATTCCACCCAGCAGGTAGGGCTGGCCACCATCTAACACTGTTTCTCATCAAATTTTTCAATTAAATTTGAGACTATAATTTTTTTATCAATAATCAAGAAATCAGTGATAGACTTGCCAGCTAAAATACCATATGCCCAGTTAAATTGGAATTCCACATAAACAACCAATAAATTTTTAGTAAAAATGTGTTTCAAATATTGCATGGGACATATACTCAAAAACTACTTGTTATTTATGTGGAATTCAAATGTAACTGAGCTTCCTGTGTTTTTATTCACAAAATTTGGCAATGCTAGTCAATGAGATGTAGGATTCATTTCACGGAAATCCACATTATAGCCTACCTCCGTGGAAATTAAGGAGACACAGCCCTTAATTTGCATATGCACACACCAGACCACAAAATGCAGAGAATAATTTTTCCTTTAATGTGATTCATGTTATTTTGACGACCTTCAGGTCAAACTCAGATTTGCAGTGAAAAGCCCCATTGGCTAGTTTTATCTGTGAAGCAGTTGAGAGCTCGTGTGTGATAATGACCTTGGGTTTGATCTGAAGTGTTAGAAGCCGTGTCTCTTGAAGTATTTGGCTCGTGCAAGGACATCATTGCAGAAGTCACAGCCTAGGTCCTGGGTGCTTCTGACATAGCCAGGACCTCCGACGTAGGTGCAGAGTCCACCTGGAATTTGTGAGACAGGTTAACGCTGACCTCACAGCCCCTCCTTGCTTCAGAGTACTCACCAGTTAACTTAGATTGTCTTTCCTCATGCTTGTTGGGAAGCAAGTGAGGTTTGGGGGCAGCTGGTACAATGTATTATGTTTGTCCCTATTATTCCATGTTTTGAGACCACCAACCCATGTCTTTCACCTACCTCTCAGGTACTGGTCAGGGGTCCAGGTTGGAAACCTCCTCTGGATGTCTTTGATTCTATGAGTTAGGACCTCAGTCATTTGGGAAAGCTGGGACTCAGTGATCCAGGATGTGGGGACGTAACTGCCAGAGTCCTACAGGGAGGAAGGCAGAGGAAAAGCCATTTGGGAGGATGGAGTGGCATCATAGGCTCAGAGCTGCTTTCACATTTCCCTTTCTTTCTTTCCTACTCCTTTGGCAGAACTCAATCTCCCTGGGGACAAATAGTAAAGCTACAAGGTTTGGGCAAATGAAGGGACGAGCAGACATTTCGCTACTGCCTCAGTGTAATGGTGAGAGGCAGAGTTGAAAGCCAAGGTTGACAGGTAGTGTAGACTCCAGTCTGATGCTGTCCTTCAACACTGCAACCACAAACCCTCCAAACAGGTCAGAGATGGGGTTTCTATCTGTGCTTGTAATTCTCCTTCCAGATAATCTGAATGTCTAAAGGTACCTCTAACTTTCCTTCTGCACCTTTGGTTACCATTCCATGTAGATTCCAACATATTTAGGAGAAATATCTGACTCTGCAGAATTCTTTCTTCATCTTCAAAGGAGATAGACTTGTCTTTTTCCCAAGAACAAGATTTTACAAAGGAGGCAGAACAGGGCAGCAGAAATGATGCTGGCCCTAACATCACCACAGTTGTCCTTGGTCCCAATCATGCATTTTCCAGCTGCTGCGTGACTTTCCAGCAATGCCTCTCTCCTCATAAATTTACTTCCTCATTTGTAAAGGATGTATTACATGCCTTCCCCAATCCCATTTTATCACATTATTGGGTGGGCCCCCAAATCAAAATATGATAAAGAATTTTAAAGTACTTTTAAATTGCAAAATGTCATACAAAGTATGAATGGGAAGCCAATTTAAAGATCACTTAGGAATATATTTTCCTAAAAGCTTACAAAAACTACTGTAATACTTACAAGTTTCTCAACAACTACAACAATGTGAAATGTAATAGTAAAAAAACTGATCTCATTGTCACCTCTGTCATCACCAATTCCCCCAATGAAGAGTTAATTCGACAGTGAGGTTAAATAATGACCAGTTCCCTAGGAGTCTCTATCAGACAACAAGGAAAACCAGGCAGAATTCATGCAAAAATAAAACCTGACCTTCAGTACTAAGAATTGTGTAGAAAGAAGACAAGGAAGAATGAATTCAATACTTGTTGAGAACCTAGCCGATACCAAGTGATTTGTCACATTGTTTCATTGAATCTTCATAACAGTTCTAAGAGAATGGCATTTTGTAGGTGAGGAAACTGAGGCCCAGGGAGATTACATGGTTTATCCATGGTCACACGATTACAAGATAGCAGTAAGGATCCAACCTGGGATCTTTTTCCTGCATGGCCTTATTGGAAATCCAGAATAGGCAACTAATGATGATATACTGGAGACACAGTATAACTGACTTCGAAAAGGAATTGTGTGGCTCAGAATGAAGCAGAAATGGAACTGCTGATCTCTCTCAGGAGGAGCTATGGCTGCCACAGCTTCAGGGAGCTCCTTTCACTTTGTTCTATGGGGCTGTGTCCCAGGGGTGACATCCACACAACAAATGTAAAGGTGTCCCCTTGGAGATGGGCCACGCAGCACAGCGGCCGTATATCCCGGCTGGTGGAGGGTTACCTGCACAACCCTGATTCTGTCGCCCACGTTGCCCGTATTGACCAGAAAGTTGCCACCAGGAGACTCCCTGGACACGACACCAGCGATCACTGCAGGATCCACACAGTACTTTTGGCCAACAGTGTACATCGTGGGTTGATATCTCAGTAGGTATGGCATGTCTATTTCAGCCAGCCTTTCAGAAGCACGAACTCCTAAAGCAAACACAGAATGAAGGATGTGGCTTGGTGTGACGTATGCTAAAATAGGAGCTCAAGAGAAGAGAGAAAACACACTCCAAGGATCTGGGCAGCAGTTGAGGACTGAGAAGCCCATGTTTGGGTCGGAAGCCCCTAGTGGCCATTCCTAGACCTGAGACTATGATTCTCTGCCTGGAGCTTGAGTTGGCATCCACCAAGGCAGTGTCCTTTGTGGCCACCAGTGCCCCTCAGCGGGGGCAGCAGGGCCATCCCAGGAAAATTCTCTGGGCACAGGCAACATTGGCTCCACTCTACGCACCCCAGTAAAATGCACCTATCCATCAGCTACAACGAGCACATGATGCGAAGGAGGAATTCTCCCTAACCCTTCAAGAAGTCCTTGGAGAGTATCCCTGACAGGTAGGCTCACTCTTGTCCACATTTCCACCCTACAGTGACACCCAGAAGTCCTGTGCGCTTAAACCGTTATGAAGTAACAAGAATGCTGTGCAAAATGAAAACCAATCCTAATTTACCCAGCTAGCCCACTCACCTTCTAAGTACTTTTATGGTTTCAAAAGCACTCTCATCCACATTATTGACCAGAGTTTACAAGAACACTGAAAAGTAAGTACTATTATCCCCCTCCCAGCGGAGGCTCAGGGCTGCTAAGGGACCTGAAGAAGCAGAGCCGGCGCTCCGGCAAGGTCTTTGGACTCTGTATCCAGTGCTCTTTCCACCACTCGGTGGTGTGGGGCTGTGGGAAACAGTGGGAACCCAAAGGGTATGTTGAGAGGATGAAAGCTTGTGGGAAATGATTGGGAGACAGGTGTGGGGTCTCAGGGGAAGGGACAATATCCTGTTGAAGCCACCCTTGCATAAAGGAATCACCTTCTGAGAGAAAGGAAGAGGAGGAGGGCAAGGTAGAGAGTGAAATTATAGCTACCACAATAGTTCAGGCCTCGGCGTCTTCCAATCCCACAAGACGCCCCAGGGGTATCCAGGGTTCGGATGTTTCCATAGCACCCCCAGTTGCTGCTTTCACATGAGCCTACAAATTGAGAAAATTTCAAGCTGAGGCATTGAACTAGAATAGTGGTGATCATCCTTCTGTCCATGAATGAGGTGACATAAAAAACACAACTGTACCCAAATCACTGACAACAAGAACAACACTCTGCAATGGAAACCCTTTTGAAATGTGCAGTCTAGGGACTAAGAAACGATCACAGAACCTGCTCGACACTGAAGTCTCACCTTGAAGCCTGCAGACACGAGGAACTGTTGGAGCAATACTTGCCAAGCTCTGGGGCTGTCCAGTGCTGCTGAGTTGGTGTCTTGGAGTCTAATCAGAGATTGTGTATTCCCTGTAAGCTAGTCCTCATCTTCCATCATATGTGAACTCTTAGCACTTCTCCCTCTGATCCCCCTAACTTGTTGGTCTGGTGAGATGTTTATGTTTTGCTCTGCAGAAACACGTATGAAGTCTGGCCTTCCTGGGATCTCAATCCAGATCCCAAGTAACGGCGCTGCTCATAAACTGTGACGTGGAGCTGGCTTCCTGTGCTCTCTCATCCACATCTAGGGGTGACTAAGACCCCAAAGAGGGGGAGGGCACCTGGTGAGGCGTGGGGTGAGTCTCCAGGTGGGGCTCTGTCTTTCTTCTTCTTCCTTCGTCTCTGCCCTTCCTTCTCTCTCCCTTTAACTGCCACTGTCATTTTCATCACTGAAGGGGATTCCACAAAGACCACTGAAAGCACGGACATTCCCGAGTATGCATCATTCACACCCGAAGGAGGGCACAGGAGCCAGTAACAAGATACCTACAGGTGGCAGGAAATTCCCCCTTGAGAGAATCATCTCACTATTATAAGCCTTCTCATTACTCTTTTTGATTTGTTTTATTCTTTGATGAAAGATTATATCATCAAATCTTAATGATTTGCACACCTTTGGAAGTATGTTTATTGCTTATCATCATGTGTGTACTGTATGTTTATGTAAATGTATTTTAAGGTTCTCTTACTAAGAGCTTCATGTGGGGGACGGTCGGATGGTCAGTTGGTTAGAGTGCGTGCTCTGAACAACAAGGTTGCCGGTTTGACTCCCACATGGGATGGTGGGCTGCGCCCCCCGCAACTAGATTGAAAACGGCGGTTGGACTTGGAGCTGAGCTGCACCCTCCACAACTAAGATTGAAGGACAACAACTTGACTTGGAGCTGATGGGTCCTGGAAAAAACACATCGTTCCCCAATAAAGTTTAAAAAAAAAAAAGAACACTTAAAAAAAAAACCAGAACTTCGTGGGGTTGACATCTGAAAATACTAGTATTTTGGAGTACACACTACTACTTTAAACTGTTTCCGTAGTGTAGTGGTTATCACGTTCGCCTCGCACACTACTACTTTAAAAACTTTTGATGAGTAATCTAAGAGAAATGAGCAAATGAAATGACTTGATCTTTTAAGAGTATACTAAAAATTAAACGAGCCAGCATGTCCCTTCATAATTTTTAATGAGTATACTTTATTTTTATAATTGGTGACAAGTACCCTTAATAATAACTGTTTATGTCACTCATGGCTCCCTGCCTTACAGCCTCTCCCTAACTACATTACATGCTCCTCAAATTTCCTTACATTCCCAAAATTCCTTATAGGAATTTTGACATATTTATTGAATGAATGGGTCAATAAATAAATGAACATAAGACTGACCCCATATGAGAAACTTTTTAAAAGTTAGAGTCAGGAAAAAAAATTGCTTTTCTTGAGGAATTACGCTTCCTCCTTTTCTCTATCAAAAAAACATGTACTTTTCCTTTTTTGCCCCAGCTGTAAGGAACCTCAGGACCAAATCTGAAATTCCAGCACTGTAACTATGTTAGCCACTGTGTCTAGCTTAGTCACATGTCCTCCATCCCCTCAATGCTAGTTTCCTACTGAATGACTTAATCTTATTGTGGTAAGCCGCCTCAATCTTTCTATGGAAATCTATGGCCTATGAATAAACTCAACAAATGCTTTTGGTGAAAGAGTTTTTATAGAGAAACAATGAGTCTATACTGAATGTCTGGCTTCATGCAATGCTGTTGTAAGCTCACTCCACATCCTGGAGAAGCCCCCCTTCTTTTGTGGGCATCCAGGAGGAGGCAGCTTGTCAGTAGCTGATTCTAACTCCAGGACTTGCAGAACAGTTCAGGGGGGAAAATCACATTTTCCACTGCAGTTTTACATATCAGAAGTACCATTATGTTGCTCCCATCTCCAAGGTCATTTGGGGAAAACAAAACACACTCACCAATAAGGGCAAGGAGGCCCAGAACCAGCGACAGCACAGACATATCGATGGTCTGACTACGAGTCCTAAATGATTTTAAAATAGAAATTAGCTTGCAGATGTGAAAATATCAATCATCATTATAACAATACATAATGTCTCTATGAAGGGTGTGAAAAAAAAAGAACAAGTTTCCCCATGTCTGACCTGAAAAAAATTAATGGTTTGAATCAGAATGAAGAAAAGCAAAAGTCAGACATGTGCTCCATCTATCCTTTCAATTAGCTTAAAATGACGAGACACCTGCTTGGCCCACAGGGATTCTAATTATTTCAAGAAGCCAAGATTCTCAACACCGAGAAACATGGTGACCTGACTTCAGATCCTCAAAAGCAAGTTTTTGATGCATATGCCTTATCCCAATCGCCTCTTCATTATCAAAAGATAAGAAAAGGAGAATTTTGTATTCATTTCTCTTAATTGGGGTTCTTTTTCCTTTGGGTTAGAGGAAAGGTTATACTTTCCTCGGTGCCTGAGAACATATGCGTTGCTATGGTTGTTGGAAGGAGTTAGAAGACATTGTCCACGGCTCTAAGCTCCCAGCCTGGAAAGCTCAGATCCCTTGGCCACCTTGCACCATATTTCACATCCTGGGAGTAACAAACCTGGGCCAGAGCCCAGGGTAGGGGGATGGAGAGACCGGCTACTTCCACCAGGAAAGTCAAATCCCCATGAAGTCAGGTCATGAGCAAGGGTCCAGGACTGACCTCATAAGGTGCTCACTAGATAGGAGAACTGACAACTGGTCACCGTCAAGCACTTGCTTTCATACTTGCTCTCGTGTACTTTCTCTCTTTCTCATCACAACCATTTCTCTAATCACCATCCACATTTCCAAAGAGCCATGATTCCCCCACTAGATACCAGATGAATACACAAAAGCCACCCAGCATCGTTTGCAGTTGACCCCAGTGAATGCTGGAGAAGCAGGCCACCTGCCCCCAAAGCCTCCACCTCCCAACAGCCCCTCCCACTGCAGGGTGTTCCCATGACCTCCTTTGGTTGACTGAGCCTGGCTACCTACCATTTTGAATTATTACTATCATTATAAGTAGGAGTGTGCATATAAGTATGGTATCCAGCATTTTCATAATTCTTTTCTCATCTCTTTTGTTTTAAGGTTATTCTTACAGGTGGTTCCATCCAAACACCCAGGAAGAGATTATGTCTCAAGATGAAGAAGACTTTGTGAGGTGGGTACTAGACTTGTCAAGGGGATTACTTTGTAAGTAATATAAATGTCTAACCATTACACTGTACATCTGAAACCAATATAATATTGAATGTCAACTGTAACTGAAAAAAATTTTTTCCTAAGTTGAAGGAAAGGTAGTAAGGGAGTCATTTGAATGAAGTCTTCTTACACTGAGGGGTCGTGTGCCCCTCAGCTATGGGTGCCATCTTGTTTTTCTCCCCTACACCATTGAGATGGTCTATCTGATTTCCCTGAGTTGAGTAGAATATGTCACGCTGAGTCCCAACACCAGAAAGTTACAGGAACTTGAAATTTTAGCTGGCTCTGCAGGCACTCTCCGATTCAATCACCCAACAGGAATCATGTATTTAGGACCAAGCACTGACTGAGAGAGGACACTCAGTCCCAGGAAAAATAATAAAGAGCCATTTAGGTATAGGAGAAGCTTATAGAAAGTTCATCTTCACAGAGGCGTCTCCCTGGCTTTATGGAAAGAACCCAGCAGAAAACAGCATGGCTTGCATCCAGATGCTAAACCCAGGGCATTGACTGTTTTTTGCTGCTGTTCTGGGAAGCAAAAAAAACTTCCTCTGGAAACCCAAGTGAAAAGGCTTAGCTTGTATTGCAACATGAAAGCTACTTCATTCTCCAAGCATAACTAAATATCTGTTGAGCAAGCCCTTAATGAAAAGAGTCTAAGTAAACATACAATTACTTAGAAACACAGGGTTCCTTTCTGTCATTTCTCCCCCTGATTACACCAGGCAAGAGCAAGAAGCAGCAATGAACATAAACACTGCATGTTGATACAAGCCAAGCTCTGTGACCCAACTTTACAGGTGCCTAGAAGCACTGTGGGTTTAGAAGGGACTTCAGGGGCACTGCTGGAGTGTGCTCAGGAAGGGGCCATGGGTTGACTAACCAGAGATGACTACTCGGTCAACACCCCTGTGGCTTCCAGCACTTGAAATGTCTGACCAAGACAACACAGGGTTGTGATGCCCAGCACAATGTCTATGGTGACATCAGTCCTTTCCCTTCCTGGAGAGCAAAACAGTGACAAACAGCATGTGGTGTCAACAAGCTGGAGCAGTGGGGCCCACCGGGCACCCTGAGCCTCCCTCGGGGACAATTCAAGTTCCTGGTGGCTTCTACCCACCCTCCCTCCATCACATACTTTGCAATTTCCAAAGCATCATTTAGGTTTGTAAGGCACAATGGGCCATTTCTTCCTCCTTTAAACAATTGTGGAAAAAGTGGAAATAAAGGTCTTTGTAGTTTCCCCTCCATAGGACTCTCATCCCTTTTCCATAAAAGGACTCCCAGATCTCTTTGCCATAAACCTTGATCCACAGCCACCTTGGTCCTTAGGGCCCTCCACCCAGTCTGGGAAATGTGTTGTATTGACAGCCTGCAGTGCCTGGAGATGAGGGCGGCCTGTCCCATTGTGGCCCCTGTTTGAACCTGGAAGAATTGAGAAATGCTCTACACACCCGCCTTAGGCATGGTCTCTTGCTCCGTGTTGTATTGTCTCCCTAGTTTTGCTCCCTGTGGGCTGATAAGCCTTTCCATCACATTTGAGTCCTGTACATGCTCGTTGCCCCGTCCTTCCCCTCCTTCCTCACACAGGCGGCAACACCCCAGCACGATGCCTTGCAGACGGCTATGTACCAACATGCCTAATAAAATAACAGCCATGACAGTCACATATATAAAATGTTTCTGCCACTAGGGTCACGTATCCTCAAGAAAAATTAAACTTTTTAGAGTAAAATATAAGGCTCCTTTTAAGCTCCCTGTTTACAAAGTTGCATTTTCACGCGGTCTGTGAAAATACATAGTTCCTGAATTTGGATTGTGAGCCAACAGCCCAGAAGAACTCAGAGGTTTGCCCGCTTCTCTTCACACTCTGCAGGCAAATCCTTTCCTTGTTGAGAGGCCTGGAAGGGATTCCCTTCTCTCTGTGAGGCCTCTGTGCCTGTTTGGAGTTCCCAGGGTTGAGAACTCCAGGAAGGCTCCTGTCCTGATGCTGAGGCCTGTCCCAGGAATGTCTCAGCAGAACAAAGATCAAGTCAAAGAGACCATGGCATCTCTGTTCCATCCAAGACTCTCGAAGCTTGTCTATCCTTTTACTCTATTGAGCTTAAGCTATGAGACATGTTGGCTTTAATTCCTTCCCAGCTTCCAGAAAAAACAGGACTTGGTTATAGAACCATCACTTTAAGTTTATGGGGTTAATAAACCTTGACAGCAGTGAGGATGGGGGTGGAGGAGAGATTATCACTTGGTAAAATACAAACACCACTGTCCCTCCTTTAGCTTTGAAATAACCAAAAAGACACCCTATTTGGCCTGCTACAGCTTTTGTTAAATGCACACAAATTTCTGTGCCCCCATTCTTGGTTTTGCAAATGCTCACAAATCCAAAAGTAGCTTTATACTTGCATTATAAGAAATCTAAATTTTTATAAGTATTATAATGAGCAGAAAAAAATTATTCTATCATGTACATAATTTTTAGAACTTGGGTTTTCCTTGCAAGGTCGTTTAGTTTTATCGGACTCCAGATTTTCTTGTTTACTCAGCAGTAAAAACAATCATTATCAATCGATCACTATAGACTGGATTTTTCATCCTAAATAAGCCTGAGCATAAATTCTACAACTCTGTTTTACACTCACCTGTCTTCACTTAGCTTTTGTCCTTAGAGAGAGGCAGCCCATCAGTGCTTTATATACTGTCCCTGTCCTGCCTCCTCTTTTTGAAAGTGTTGACTTCATCCTATTATGAAAAAATGTATGGCTAAGTCTTACAAATTATAGTAATGATCATAATAATTACAACTACTTTGAACTTATATAAGGCCTTTTATTCAAAACTGTCCTGGCATTTTGCAAACATTAACCAATTATTGTCTTACCACACCTCAGAGGGTAGATCCTAATTGCAGGTTCATTGACACTTTCAGGTCGAACACATTTTATTTGTACTGGTTTCTGGAATGAGGTTAGGTAAGGAAAGGAGGGAGGGAGGGAGTGATGGAGGAAGGAAAGAAGGAAGGAAGGAAGGAAGGGAGGAAGGAAGGGAGAGAGGAAGGGGAAAGGGAAAGAGGAGAGAAGAAGAGAGAGAGGGAGGAAAGAAGGAGAATTTGGAGTGTCCGAAACTCTTATTCTTCACTTGATCTTAGCCAAAAGGCCGAGAAGCGACGAAACTCTTATTCTTGTTCTGCATTTCAGGGAAGTAGAGCCACACCTTAGACAGGCTGGATGATGCTCTTTTATATGAGTATACATCCAGTACCTACAGCTTGTTCCTAAACATCTGCCTCAATAAATACTTCAGGATGCTTATAGGAAGTTTCCAGGAAGGACTCTGCCCAAGACTGCCCAGGGATGAGTTTCATAACTATGAGAGGGGGCCCCTCTATCACCACACCCTGTACCCCAGCTCTACTGAATGACTCAATTTTCCCCAAATGCAGCCCCCTTGCTTGCTCTATGCCTTCCCTAGGCTCTTTCCTCAACTGGTAGGGACAAGGACCATTTGTCTTTATAACCCCAGAACCTAACACCCTGCCTGACACCTAGGAGACATCAATAACACCGGTGAAGTAAATGGCTAACTTGTTTCTAATGCTTCCCTAATGCCCCCTGCCTTCTCCCCACTCCCTGCCTGGCCATGGCTAGAATGTAAGCTCTGAGCAGTGAACGTGGCTGTGCATTTACAACCGAGTCCCCACCGCCTAGATCAGAGTCTGGGATGCTGTGGGTGTTGGGTGAGTATATGTTGAATCAGTCAGTGTAGGAAGA